TTAAATCCTTACCAAGAATGCCAAAATCTAACTCTAGTATCACCACCAAATTTAGACCGGAAAAAGTGATCTAAAAATAGACTGGGACTACATTCGTGGGTACTGAACCGGATTTTATTAATTGTGTACCGATTCCATATATCGCACCTATCGACGGAAAATACAAAGCCGGATCTGACGTCACGCAATACGTCAGCAGATAGGATATACTCTTCCGCAACAGACATAACAAAACAAAACAAAACAAAAACAAAAACAAAAAAAAAAACAATACCCCCAACATAACATGAATGAAACAACTGTGAGCTTTCAGCGCATAATGCAGTGGTAGACATGGGTCTATGTTGTTCTGGATACTGAATGCTGACAGATAAATACGGTATAAGTACAGATACCAAGCAAATACTAAGTATAACACCTTCTTTGGTCAAAAGTTAAATAAATGATATCCACTAAACACATAGCTTTGCCTATTGATATCAATTGCTGAAAGAAATATAAGTTACAAAATGCGGAAACATGCAATTTTGCAAGACAAATACATCTTGACAATTCTCTCTCTCTCTCTCTCTCTCTCTCTCTCTCTCTCTCTCTCTCTCTCTCTCTCTTGATATATATATATATATATATATATATATATATATATATATATATATATATATATATATATATATATGTGCAAACACACACGCGCGCGCGCACACACACATTACAAAATCAACTAACTCATCGACTCTAGTGATAACAACTAGGTTATTTTCCAGTCAGATTTCATTTTTAATAATTTTATTAACGAAACCGTCTTTAATCTCGTTCAACCAGACACTCGCGTGACTCCGCGTAATCAATCGAAAGAAAGCCTTGTTAAGAATTGTACTACTATTGACTGTTACCGAGCGGGTTCGCTCATTTTTTAAATACTTTATTCTTTAAATATACCGTCTATAATATTTTGGCAGCCAAGTAATTATTTCTTCTAAAATTTTCTTTCAAGCCTTTCATAAAGTGTACAATGATGCAAATATTTTTTTTAAAAATGTTCATTCGTGGGTAGGTATTATACGACTTTATTGTGGCATTGACAACTGAGATAAGGCCACAAATTTTTATTTTAAAGATTTTGTTTTTAAAAAAATGTTCATTTTCATTTTACTTTGAAACATATCGAGACACAGGGACACTTCATATAGTTGCTGGTTAGCTACACAAAATCTAGACTAAACTGGATATCGGAAATTGCCACCTTTGCACGACTACTAATTGCCTACCCTATATACATTAACTTTCCTTTTTTAAAAATAAAAGGCTGCCGCTTTTAAATTGAACTAATGGTGTCGTTTGGAAATCCATTGATGTATGGGGTAATGGCCGTAGGTGTTACTGATGAAACTTTGAAGAATATTCATACTGTTATTTGTCTGCCATCACGATGGCAGTCGTTCATAATATGACATATTAAATGAAAAACTTTGTGACGGAGAGATATGACAATGCCTCAAGCAAGCGTTTTCAAATGTTAATTTAACATCAGAACGTCTAAAAAAAGGTAAACGCTATTTATTGCAAAGTGTAGGAATGCTGAAGTGTTCTTAGAGCAGCAATGCCTCACGGGGATATTTGAAAGCTGTACAACGTGAAGCTTGGCTTACATTCTAGGTTATTTTTATTTCATAGATGTAGTTTTGCTATCCGGATAACACGCCTAACTGAAAAAAGGACAACGAAAATATTAAGTAACAAACCATTATCCTAATAGATGGATATTTACTAATACCCAACTGCAATAGCTACAAGAGAGTAAACTTTGTTTCTTAACAAACAAAAAACAAAATAAATAACAAAAAAAAAAACAAACTAGAAAATGTTAATCATGTAAACTTATTGTTCAAAACCTAATAGCCTGGTATCATGGTCTCGCTTGATGCCAGGCCAGGGTACGGTACTCTATGGTCTATACACTGGAGGTATAACAATAGGCGTGCTTCACAACGGGAGATAATCCACCCTTGTATACGCCAGAACCAACAAATTCCAAATAATCAGTGACGCGAACCCTTTTAATACATCGGCGTATCGAGTATATTCCAACGCTATATTATCGCGGGCTCTATATTATCGCGGCAAATGGAATTTTTCGATTAATTTTGGACACGCGTCGTCTAGCGGTTGTTTACGTATGTAGCTGTAAGGACGCAAATATATTATAGTGCAATTTCCTCTAAAATGTCAACATTTGTATAATTTTACAATGAAAAAGAATTACTTTTTTGTAAAGTGCATGTAGTTACGTTGATCACCGAAAACAAAACTCCAGTCAAACTTGCTGTACGTGTATTGGATTTGATTACGAAATTACTTCAGTGCATCGTCTGATTTTTGATGATTATAGGTCATATCCTGATAGTGACGTATGTCATTACAAGGTCAAGGTTGCACTTTGTATTCATGGTAGCCATTATGGATCCAAATTGACACAACGCTGCTAATGAGCCTACTTATCCAACTTACATCAGAAAGCAATAATAGTTAGACTACTTTTAAAATTAGTAATATTTAAATAATAATATTATTAATAATTGATTTATTCGTATATGTATACATTTCTCTGCCCACATTGCACTTAATTCAGACACAGGAATCTGCAGTTTTATCAATAATTCAGACAAAGTGATATTTTTTTTTTTACTGCTGTAGTTATCATGGATTTTAACATACCTAACATTAGTGTATTCAATTTAGTCATTGAAACCTTTATTTTGGTGAAAATTTTCAGCCAGTTCAAGCATGGACGTTACATCTTATCATCAAGTTGAAATTTGTGTTTAGGTGCATGCTACCAAGCATGGCGCGGTAATCTGTGTCAGCCGACATATGCGGTTTTATTTACATTAAGGCGATTTAATTGACCGATTTCTTTTACAGAAATAGATAAATGAAAAATCAGAGAATATTTGCAATTTATAACAATGCAGCAATAACGGATCGGTTTTATTGTGTCCGATAACAACATTATGCACCGCGATAATACAGCGTACCAGGATACACAAATCCCATGCATACACTACCGGAAAATGTTAGATTTAGCCAATCTCATTTTGTGACTCCCGAAAACCCGGTACAGACGTAATTTGTCATAGGTGTCATTGATTGTAAAAGTTGTTTCCTGGAAAGACGGTAGCCCGTTACCTTGGCACCATAGAGGCTACCGCCAACATTCTCTGAGGCAGATCTTTTTAATTCAAGACCTATGTGACATTTTATTGACTTAGCACAGGAGTCATGTTCTCGTGATCTTTGAATTAGCCAATGAAAATGCGGTTTTCAAAAATATGAAAGTAAATCATACGTTCGATACCCATTCATACTCTTCATCAACATTGCTCAGTCTCGAAACATGAATATATAAGATTTCATCTGATTGGTTGATTAAATTAACGATTACGGTAATAAGATAGGTTACCAGGTGCCCGTCAACGATCGCTGTCAGATCTTCATGCAACGGGGGAGATCTGATTTTAATCAGATTGGACATAACATAAATTTATTTCAAATGATTGCCTCCCAATTATGCATGTTGTAGAATAATCCTTTTTGAGGTGCACACAAAAATCAAATATATAGTAATTTGATTCTTCAACTATCTGCGACTGACACCTTATCCTATTTAAATTCTTGCATGAATAATAAAATACGAAATTATCCACCCACACCGTCGCGAGGTAATAATTTATTTTTGCGCCAGAATGACAGCGTGTCAAGTCGACTAATCATGGGTACTTTGTCATACTGATATTGAATAACTTTTGCATCACAATGGCCGAAATACCTTCCAAACTTATTATAATCAAAAGGGATGATATATAAATATACATATATCTTTTATTAATAAAGACATAATAATGTTTCCTTACTTGAACTATTTTCAGCATAATTTTTGTTGTTTTTTTTAATTTCGAGGTGTTTGTTTTTATTTTTGTAATTATATATGTTTTTAAGTGTTATCAATTGTTGTACAGCGCTTAGAGCTTCTAAAGATTAGGCGCTATACAAAGTCCTCATTATATTATTATTATTATTATTATTATTATTATTATTATTATTATTATTATTATTATTGTTGTTGTTGTTGTTGTTTCTTCAAATCTTATTTATAGATCACAACATTCAAAAATCATCTGTCTAGAAATAAAATATTTACATTACTATTCCGCCGTTTAAGCCAGGGCAGAATCCCAATGAATGAAAATGATTTTGTAAATGGTAACATATAAAGGCAATAACTGTAACTGTTTTCGAAGAAAGAGTATTCCGTTTTAAAAACTTATAATTAAAAACATTGGTACCTACAATTTTCTGTCGATACCCGAACATTCCGTTGTAACGAATCTTTTGGCAACGAACGTTAATTGTAGTCATTTTCGTAAACTTTTGAAGAATGAACAGATAGATACGGAAGTGACCATTTCATGTGTTAAATTTGTGTGATGTCACTAGTAGTGTTAAATGATGAATTGTGTATAAAATGAAAACAGCAATGAAGAAAAAACAATCAAAATAAAGTAAGAATGTTTATTTGTATGAAATTGAAGACAAATTTCGAAATCTAAAGAATGCATCGTGAAAACCTTAAATATTAACTCCATATTACTAACTGTTATTGAGATTTTCCATTCTGGAAAAATATAAACAATGTTTTCACCCACCCACCCCAACAAAAAAAAAGTCATCGACATGATATACTGGATTAAACGATGTTGTTTTGAAACATTGTCTTAGTAGCTGTTCTGACGTCATTAAACCGTTAGTATAAAACATGATATTGTAAAAACCATATCAAAATGAGTTTTAATACTCCCATGCCTTATTCTCCATTCCTTTAATCCTCATCCCTCTTATCATCCATGATATTAATCTTCCCGCACCTTGTCCTCCATTAATTAATCTTTCCGCACCTTATCATCCGTTTCCTTTAATCCTCCCCACCCTTATCCTCCATTTTCGACAGTTCCGATGGCCGAAGTGGTTAGTGTTTCCGCCTCTGATGTGGGAGGTCGCGGGTTCTAACCCCGCCTGAGTCATACCAAAAATTTATGAATTATGTTACTAGCAGCTGCCTCGCTTGGCGCTCATCATTAAGAGGTTAGTATTATGACTGGTTGGCCTGGTGTCATGATAATGTGACTGGGTGGGATATGATGTTACATGTTTGCGACATGATGCTCTAGTGCTAAACATCACTATAAATTGACATACTGCCGACATCGTAGCGACCTGACTGAACAATTGTTAAAGCTATGTCACAAATACACACACACACACACATCCTCGACAATCTTTGTCTGAAGTTTCAAGCCGTTACTTAAGCCACCGCGTTAATTTTATCCAATTTTTCTAATTAAGCCACTGAGCCAATTTTATCTAATCTTTCTAATTAAGCCACCGAGTCAATTTTATCTAATCTTTCTAATTAAACCACCGATATAATTTTATCTAATCTTTCTAATTAAGCCACCGATTTAATTTTATCTAATCTTTCTAATCACTGAAATATTTCTACGTTGCAGATAACAGGTGACACCTATATAAAATCCATTACCTGATTCTTGCTCTATCTTATCACGACTAAAAGGATATTCCAAATTTAGTAGCTTATCGTTTTTACAGTCTTGACGACTTAGATGTGCCAGTTTATGATATCTAAATTTACGATGTTTTAAGAGTTCGTAGTATTCGGGAAAGGATTTTTTTTTACAGAAAATAACTTAATCATCAAGAATTTTACTTAAATTTGTATTAAATTTGTATTTAAATATTTAAGTGGTTCGCGCTATTAATTACTGCCGGAAACTACTGATCTTGCAAATTTCTTATAGAAACTAATAACTCGGTTAGTTAACAATAAATAGAGAAATTTCTTCCGCGTTGATTTTTCAAAACTGTCGGAGTTTTTAATCGCACAATACTGCCGTTTCAGAGAAGTGTTGTGCATATTGAGGAAAGTGAATGTCAACCTGGATTCGAAAAAAGCCGAAATGCACACAAACAAACACAGACACACACTAATAGCTGTTTAGGAAAAGAATCTGGTGTCATCTTTGGTATGATAAACTTATCCACGTCATCCCACTGTAAACTTATTAACAAATACGGGATAGTACAAGAGATGGTTCTCCAATGTCCTAATTTGAATATCTCTAAAAACGAAAGGTTCCTCTATATGTAGATTTGGATATCGAGGTTTAGATTTCATCCAGCGCTGTGTCGGATTTACATTTAATTACGGTTTAATGTTATTCTATCTTATTTTTAATACTTATGCAGCATAATTTCATCTTTATTGTCAAATTGTTTGGACAGTACATTTTCATATGAAATGCCTTTACCTCGATATGTCATTCAAGAATTCAACAAATGGTACTAAATTTATCTTCGAAACGAGACCAGAATGTTTCGAAAAAGTACGAACTGTGTGAAGACAATCGGCACATCCTCAAAAGTTTCCCTTACGTCTAGAAATAAATCTCGTTTGCAATTCGTCACCGTTGAGAACTCTATTCGGAACTGTTTTTGTTCACATGGTGCAGATGGCAGGGGATAATTACACAAATTGGCTCTTCAAGTTCCTTAACTTGAGGCTATGATGCGACATTTTCAGCTACTATAGTTTATTAAAGATGTGGATATATTTGTCAATAGGTGTTTCTGACTTGTTTTAATTCTTTAAATTGAGGCATGTACGCCTCCCACTGTTACTTCGCGTGTTGTTCGTCAATAGATTTCGAAAATGACCATGCCTTCACTACCTGGTTTGGTTTCTGTGAGTGCATAAGTAGCTGATCGAGCCAATTCGTGCGCTGAACTGCCTGTGTCACACCTGACCGGGTAAAATCATTGGGTTTACTTGAATAATATGTTGTCTGCACGTGACATGGTGCTGCTGAAATAGGCGAAATCGTCCACTGCCACGAGGGTTTGGCCATTTAGTGTGATAGTAGGCTCTTCGCAAGGTTTTCCTGGTGCAGTTTGGTACATCACCTCTGTCTTATTGATACTGATTGTGAGATTGAAACTGTTACAAGTGGAGGAGAAATGGTCCACACTGTGTTGCATGTCAGATTCAGATAGGAGATCCCGAACATTCGCTTCGTGTGACTTCGTAGTCGCCTGTAGTCACTTCAGATGGAAGAACTTGTCGTCAGCCCCGTTTTTAATGTAGATCTTAGTGTCATCATCACGGAATTAATCAGTAAGTATTGTAGAAAATATCATACTGAAGATTGTTTGGGCCAGCACGCAGGTCTTCTTCACTCCATGAAAATGGTTGAGATGACTCAGCGTAGTTCACGACTAGAGCAAGCATGCCACCATTGAACTGCTGAACAATCATGACGAATTTCTATTTGCAGTAAAATCTGTCATGATCTTCAAAAGTCCTCCATGGCTGACAGCGTAGATGGTCGATGAATGTTGTGTACATGCTGGAGTTCTGTTCCAGGTATTTCTCCTGGAGTTGACGAGCTGTAGACGGTCATGTCTGTGATCACTCGTCCTTTCCTGAATCCACTCTGACTCTATGGTAGAAACCCTTGATCGGCGTAATACACAAAACGATTCAAAAGAAGTATTTTGCTGGCTATTGACAGCAAGGAGATATGCCGATGACTGTCGCACGATTGTTTGCTGCCTTTCCGCTGGTACAAATAGAAGATTGATGCGTCTTTGTACTCCTGGATTATAATTCCTAGAATTCTCGTTGAATGGAGGAGTTCAGTACGTTTTGGTGCAACGCGCGAGCCTCAGGCTTTGTAGACTTCTACTGATATAGCATTTACTCCAAGAGCTTTGCTATTTGACACCAAGGCAACGACTTCTACTGATATAGCATTTACTCCAAGAGCTTTGCTATTTGACACCAAGGCAACGACCAATAATTCGCGTATGTAGACAGCGAAAAACCAATACTGGGCTGGGAAGCGGATATAGTCACCAATAAAAATAGACACGTAGGTTAGAGACAATTGTAATATCTCAACAAAAAAAAAACCCTTAAATTGCAGATATTTTGAATTGCACGAAGTTGTTTAAATCAACATGTATTTAACAGTTAGTACCTACGGAAAGTGCTTGCGCTTGCACTTTGAGCTTCGCTTTGAGTCAAGAATGACATGAACAAAATGCATACATAAATTTGGGATTGGGTAGCGTAAATTTTTTTTGCTATGACCTTTGACTAGTGAATTATATTTTTTGTCCCTAGATTAATTATGGACTCACTTGTGCATTTTTAATTTTAGGAATTTTCAAAATAGGCAGATGGACAATGTATTAGATTTGTGCACAAGAAAAACTTTGTATACATACTGGGTCTACCATGTTACCCATATAGATACCAACCGGTCTATAACCAACTGGCAACAAACCATAAGGAATATGTCCTACCTTCTCTCCGGTAACATAAACAACGCTGCTACCTGCACACACCAGATGACCCTGAAGTCAACCTTGCGTTGAGTTAACGTTTTAGTTAGTTTGGATGAGAAATATGGAAAGTTAGTAATCAGTCCAAGAATTGCTAGCTAAAGTTTTACAATTTGTATATTTTCCGCTGCTTTTTTTTTTAGAAGCCTTTGATATATGCGGTAAACGAAGAATTATCTGATTTCTTACCGGTGGAGACAAGTGTAGCCCGTTACCTTGGCACCATAGAGGCTACGCAAACTTTATAGGAGGCCAGAGTACCAGCCTATGGACAAGGGCGTTTAGATAGAAGCGTGAGCACAACTGGTGAGCAATTTGGGAGTATGTCGAGTCTCTTTCAGGGAGTAAAAGCAACTCCCATTGTTAACAAAGACGATAATATTCTGACTGGGTTATAAATATTACATGGAATATATGTTTGCGAATGATAAATATAACTCACATGAAATGCATATCCTTATCATGAAAAGCCAATCTATATTTTATAGCGTATTAAAAAATAAGTTGACCTGGATTTCAAGGTCACCAGAAGATGAACTTATGTCGGCGATTGTCTGATCTCCCTTGCCACTTAAATCTCGATTATATAACTCTCTCTCTCTCTCTCTCTCTCTCTCTCTCTCTCTCTCTCTCTCTCTCTCTCTCTCTCTCTCTCTCTCTCTCTCTCTCTCTCTCTCTCTGTGTGTGTTCTGTTCACTCAGTTCACTCAAAAACTTTGCACTTTAGTTACAATCAAGTCTTTCTTTGTACCATAACGGTCCTTTGTGCATTTATTTATATTTAAATTTTAGAACTTAACTTGAAATTACCAGCATACTGCCAATATTGTGCAGTCATGCCGTTAAATCCGAATCTACACAAACATCTATGCATCAGTCTTCGGTCGGATACTTTCAGTTCGTTGCCACACCCACATCACCCCACCCCATACCGCTTTTTTTTTTCTTTGACTTAAAGTACAGACCTTTATAGGGTCTTGCCTATATGAGAATAGCTTGTAAGCACATTATACATGTATAAAGCAATTCCTCATTATTTGTAAATTCTCTTTTGTTTGACTTTTAATAAATTGGTTCTCGAAGTCTATACAGTTTATAATTTCTTTACAACTGTGGGTCCAAAATTGAACTGCAGTATGCCGAGATTGTGTTGTTTTTTTTGTACTCAATTCCAGTATTATAAAAGAGGGTGGGTGAGTGGGTGGATATAATTAATCTTAGATGGTATTTCAGACTTGTTACAGTGATATGATTCTTTGGAAGGAACCCAAATATTATATCCCTCTCGCAGATGACTATTACACGGACGTCAGATTTACCAGTTTTGGTAAATTTATATCCCGATGCGAAAGAGTTTAGAGTTGCAAACCGACATGTAGACCAAATGGGATATTTCGTTTGACGTTTAAAGGCACAACAACACGTGAAGGACACGTAGTGCAATGGCAATTGGAGTAAAATGACTTACTCGGTAATACGTGATAGCCCATCCGTGCTGATACTCTGTGTTGAAAGCAGTAACCTTTTAGTTGAGAGAGAGAGAGAGAGAGAGAGAGAGAGAGAGAGAGAGAGAGAGAGAGAGAGAGAGAGAGAGAGAGAGA